CTTTGGAAGTGGTGTGGAAACCACTTCGGCTAGAAGTGGACACCGGAGCCACCGTCTCCATCATCGGACAAAGATTTTTCGTACAAGAATTTCCAGAGCTTCAATGTGAACCTTCGGATGTCATCCTAACAAGCTATCGCGGTGACCTTTCTAAGGTTCAGGGAAAGGTTGTCGTACCTGTTCGATTTCTAAACAAAGAAGCAACGCTTCCTTTGTATGTCGCACGTGATCAGACTCCTACACTCCTTGGAAGAGATTGGATCAACACCCTTGGAATAAGTTTGGCCGATGTGAAAGAAGTTACCGCTGCATCCAGCATGGAAGCAATTCTGAAGAATCAGAAAGAAGTCTTTTTCCGACGGACTAGGTACGCTGAAAGGCGTGAAAGCTAAGATCACCATCCAAGAGGGAGCGCGGCCCAAGTTCTTCAAACCACGCACGATTCCGTTTGCGTTACAGGACAAGGTTGCTCAAGAACTGCAACGACTTCAACGCGATGGAATTATCTGTCCTGTGAGAACATCCGAATGGGCAGCCCCGGTCGTGCCTGTTCTAAAGCGCGACGGCCGAGTGCTGATCTGCGGTGATTTCAAGGTTACTGTAAATCCTGCAACCATTCTAGAGAAGTACCCGGTACCCAGATTGGAAGATCTGTGGGCCAAACTTTCAGGTGGCGTCAAGTTCACCAAACTGGACCTGACGGATGCAGAGCAACAGGTGAAGCTCGAGCCTGAGAGTCAGAAGATTGTCACCATCAACACTCCAAAAGGACTTTTTCAATATACCAGACTACCATTTGGAGTATCCTCGGCTCCTGCAATCTTCCAGAGAGAAATCGAAAACCTACTGCAGGATATGCAACGCGTCGTCGTATACTTCGACGATATTGTCGTGACTGGACTCAATGACAAAGACCACCTAAAAAATCTTGAACAAGTTCTACAGCGTCTACAGGTCGCAGGTCTTAAGCTCAAGCTAGAAACTTTCACTTTTATGGCCCCTGAAGTGGAATACCTTGGACATGTAATTGAAGCCGGAGGGCTAAAGTCAACGCCACGCAAGGTAAAAGCTGTCCTAAATGCGCCTCGACCACTTGACCTCAAGCAGCTTCAAAGCTACCTTGGGCTCGTCAACTATTATCGGCGTTTCCTTCCCAACTTGTCCTCAGTACTTCAACAGTTGTACTACCAGCTCGCTGCGAATACATCATGGCGATGGGGGCAACAAGAGGAGAAGTATTTTCACAAGAGCAAAGAGCTCTTGACATCTGCAGTAGTACTTCAACACTTTGATCCTAACGAAGAGATCATCCTCAGCTGTGACGCATCTCCTTACGGACTCGGCGCTGTTCTTTCCCATCGAGATTCAAGGGGACAGGACGGTCCCATAGCCTTCGCCTCGAGAAGCCTCCTACAAGCTGACCAAAATTACAGTCAGCTTGATAAGGAAGCCTTGGCACTCGTTTTCGGATTGACGAAGTTTCATCAGTACTTTTGGGGTAACCAGTTTGAAGCCGTCACTGACCATAAACCTCTCCTTGGACTTCTGGGCCTTGACAAGGCCATTCCAGAGAAAGGATCACCTAGAGTCATACGTTGGGCAATGACACCAGCAGCGTACAAGCTGGTCTACCGACCCGGCCCGAACATAGGTAACGCTGATGCGTTGAGTCGCTTACCGTTACCAGTGGACAACTTCCAATTTCCGCGGCCAGCTGATGTACTCATGTTGGAAGCGGCGTACCCTGCCGTTCTCTCCGCCGCAGTCGTTGCACAGTAGACCGCGACTGACGCAGTGTTGTCACGAGTGAGACAGGCACTGTGGTCCGGTAGCGATCTTCCTGAAGGACCACAGTGGTTGCCTTTTCGAACAAAGCTGACAGAACTCAGCGTCCAAAAAGACTGTTTACTGTGGGGTCAAGAGTGATCATCCCACTCAGGTTACAAGAGCAAGTACTTCAATTACTGCACGAAAGCCATCCAGGAGTGGAGAAGATGAAGTCCATTGCACGAAGTCACGTCTGGTGGGATGGGCTAGACCACAGTATCACGGCAAAGCTTCAAGATTGTCATGAATGCCAAGAACATCACCGTTTCGATCGGAAAGTACAGTCAACCCCATGGCCTTTTCCAGAACGGCCATGGTCCCGCTTACATGTTGACTTTGGTGGTCCATTCCAAGGACGTTATTTCCAGGTATTGGTCGACGCATACTCGAAGTGGGTTGAGGTCATACCGGTATCGTCACCCTCTGCTGATGCTACGATCAAATGCCTTCGGAACATCTTTTCGGCACACGGTCTACCAGATATTGTCGTTTCGGATAACGGTCCGGCCTTCGTAAGCGACAAGTACAGTGAATTCCTAAGCCGCAATGGGATCCGTCGTATGCTGATTCCCCCTTACCACCCAGCATCAAACGGAGCTGCGGAACGCGTCGTGCAGACCATGAAAGGAATGCTGAAGAAAGCGTGATCTAGAGATTTTCAGACCAAGATTGACAGGATGCTTCTGACATACAGAACTACCAAGCATTCACTAGCAGGTCATAGTCCAGCTGAGCTGCTAAGGGGCAGAAAGCTAAAGACAGCCGTAGACCTCCTACATCCGGACATGCGGAGTGAAGTACTCTTGAAGCAGCTGAAGCAAAAGTTACGCTGTGACCAAGGAGCACGCAAAGGCCCTCTACCTCAGCATGGTCAAAATGTGTTTGCCCGCAATTTCAGGTCAGGGCCTTCATGGCTTCCTGGGGTTGTTATACAACCCATCGAGTTCATCATCTGTGCAAGTGGAACTGAGAGATGGGACTCGTTGGAACCGTCATGGTGACCATCTTCGAGAACATCGTCGTCCACCTCTGACACCCTACAGAGAGCACGGGGCAACCGTCTCTTCAGCTGAACAAGACAGGTCAACCGGATCTTCCGGGAACGAAGATCATCATGGACCAACAACAGTACACCCTGACAGAGGACCTCCTCGAACTCAGGAACTTTCATGCCAGGCGTTGCCAACCGTCCAGACTCCGAGTAGTCCCCAAAAGCTACGCTCTACGAGAGTAAAAAAGCCTGTAGATCGTTACAGGCCTTAGACCATAGTGACCCGAACTTTGACGTCTAGGTTGTGATACAGTATAGTTGTTCCTTCCTATAAAAAGGGGAGGAGTGTGATGAAGCTAGCGGCGCCATGCATCCGTGGCGCGAGAATAAAGACAAGAAGTGTCTGGCATCTCGAGCTGCCTGCACACGCACGCTGAGAACGATGGTGTTCATTCCTTCCTGCCCCCGATTAACTCGGGAAAGCTTATAACAGAAATCGTCAACAACTACAAAAGTTACGAAAATTCAATGTTTGTTTGGTTCTGCTATTTCACTGTTGTGTTAGCTTTTTTTACAATCCTTCATTTAACTTTGTGTTTTGAAAGTTGAAGCTGTTTGATTAGTTACAATTTTGTAAGCGTGTCTATGGGACGTGAATATTTATGTAACTGATAATGGTCTCGTAATATTATGCTTCATTTGTGCTGTCGTTTATTTATTGAAGGTTTTCACGATTGCTCAAACGTAGGAGAGAATATATATACCCAAACATGAAGAATACTTGGGGATTGAGTTCGATCAAAAGATAAGAACGGTAATGAGGATGTTGCTCTCTGAAATTTTGTCGAAGCAGGAATTATATTTAAATTATTCTGGCATACTCTTTCTAAAGTGCTCCTGAGTAATGACTACCAAAGATATTAGTTTATAATATTACTAAGTTTTTTTCTTCAGAGATTAAAACTGTCACACAGAAAAGGCATTTATGTACAGGTATAAACATAAGCCTGCGTGCAAGAACATTATTGTACATTTTGGACAAAACCCTGAGACGGGGGGGGGGGGGGGGGGGAAGGACAACACAACACAAAGTCTTAAACAAACCTCCTGAGCTGTGTTTGAGACTTTGGACAAAACCCCGAGACTGGGGGGGGGGGGGGGGGGGGGGGGGGGGGGGGGAAGGACAGCAGAACACAAAGTCTCAAACACAGCTTCTGAGCTGTTAACCATGTTGAATATACCTGAGACTGGGGTAGAAAAAAACATAAAAGTCGAAGAAACAGAACGGGACACGACGACGTCTCATTGAGACGACGTCTCATTGAGGCGACGTCTCATTGAGACGTCGTCCTGTCCCGTTTTGTTTCTTCGACTTTTATGTTTTTTTCTACCCCAGTCTCAGGTATATTCAACATGGTTAACATCCACCAGCTCGCCTGCACCCTTACTATTGTATTTCTGAGCTCTGTTTGAGACTTTGTGTTGTGTTGTCTTCCCCCCCCCCCCCCCCCCCCCCCCAAATTTCGGGGTTTTGTCCAAAATGTTAAACCTTCACCAGCTTGTTTCCGCCCTAACTTTTTGTTCATTATTGTAGTTTTCACTAGGTGCCTCCTATTACGTGGGTACATTGTCAGGTTGAACAATGGTGTCGCGGTAAATTGTCTCGTGATTATATGTCGTGAACACATATTAGTTGTTTTATAATATGATTTATATAGTTGATTAGTTGTTGGTATATTAGGCTGCCTTCTTCGAATAAATTATCACCTCCTCTTTATTTTTATTTCTACCACTGTGTTTGCGTCTTGCCAGGGATCAACGTCCACTAGCAAGATCATGTATTCACATATTAAAACAATTTAAGTCAAAGCCGTAAAGTTATTTTCAAGAATAAATGTCTGAACTGCTGACATTTCGACCTAAATAAGCTGTTACAGTATGTCGTTAATATGGCGGATGCATATGGTTGCGTGAGTGCGGTGTTAGATGAATCTGATGCGCCATGTAAATGCTTTATTTTTTTCGCCAATGGCTAATGTGGTAGTTCCAACTTATACATTTCCTGTGACCCTGATGGTGTGTACTATCGAACCTATATTTGGTTCACCAGACTCATCTGATTCATGTTTTATACGTTACAATTATTATGACCCTCGTCTTATTGCACTATATTTTTTTTCAGGGCAATTCGTCCAGTGAGGTTAATAATTTGGTACAAAATAACACCTTGCGTATTGACTCTGCCAACCAAATGCACTCTGGGACATACGAGTGCACGGCCAACAATGGATACGGCGATTCTGTTGTTCGCTGCGTCACCGTTAAAGTTCTTGGTGAGTTTCCGTAATACACATTTTGGTCGCGTTCCTTACCCTTCATATTTAAGAAGACAAGGTCGCATACCGCACAGTGTTATTTTCTATGGAGTATACAGGGTGTATTTTCAAAGGTGGAAAACTATATTAAAAAGTGAAGTTGACGAAAGAATTTTTTTTTTCAGAATAACTTTTCATCCAAACGCGGTTGATAATTTTGTTCGCCTTTTTGTACCGAGAGTCTTGTGAACGTAGGACAAGTGTTAACCTCAACTGAGAACCGCACTTTCGATATGATTCAGTTTATCAAAAAATTGTCTTATTTGGTAGTTTTCGATAACGCTTGGCAAGTTTCTAATTAAAGCTTTATGCTAATATTCAATATTAGAAATGTCAATTACCAAACTTATTTAATTATCCTACTTGGGACAAGTCGCCCCCCATATAATATCTCCTCCAGGCGGTACATATGGCCCGCAAACAAAGTGCTAGTGTATCTTTCACTGCTTTTGTTTAGAAAATCATATGAATGTTAATTTTGAACACCAAGAATAACACTGTTATTTTACAACCCATATATATATATATTCTGCACACCTAGCAAATGTGTAAGGGATTGAGAACGAAGAGGGGAGAAGGTGATTATTGAATTTATTGCATTAAAGTTAGGGAAAGGGGAAGGGAAAGAGAGCTGGCGAAAAATTGGGCCAGGAGCGGGGATTGAACCCGCAACCTTCGCCAGACCGGGGCGACGCCTTAACCGATTAGACCATCCTGGCCACTGGTTTCGGCGGACTCAATTTCTGACCAGCTCTCTGTGTACTGTTTAGTTTCGAATTCGCTTAACTGGGTAGACGACAACCGTTGCTGATTTAAGGCCCGCGCTATTTCCGACATGCGGCAGTGACGTGGCACGTCATCTCAGCTTGCAAATGTCGCAAAGGGCCCGTCTTCCAGGATATCTAGGGAACCACTCCTCCCCATAGGGAGGAGTGGTTCCCTTCCCCTTTCCCTAACTTTAATGCAATAAATTCAATAATCACCTTCTCCCCTCTTCGTTCTCAATATTACTACGGCTGCACTTGTCAATCTTCACTCAATCCCATTATACATACGGTGCAGCCTGTCCCTATGGGGAGGAGTGGTTCTCTAGATATCCTGGAAGACGGGCCCTTTCCGACATTTGCAAGCTGAGATGACGTGCCACGTCACTGCCGCATGTCGGAAATAGCGCGGGCCTTAAATCAGCAACGGTTGTCGTCTACCCAGTTAAGCGAATTCGAAACTAAACAGTACACAGAGAGCTGGTCAGAAATTGAGTCCGCCGAAACCAGTGGCCAGGATGGTCTAATCGGTTAAGGCGTCGCCCCGGTCTGGCGAAGGTTGCGGGTTCAATCCCCGCTCCTGCCCCAATTTTTCGCCAGCTCTCTTTCCCTTCCCCTTTCCCTAACTTTAATGCAATAAATTCAATAATCACCTTCTCCCCTCTTCGTTCTCAATATTACTACGGCTGCACTTGTCAATGTTCACTCAGTCCCATTATATATATATATATATATATATATATATATATATATATATAATGGGACTGAGTGGGATGATATAATGGGATGATTTACATCCTCTGTGTTCAGGACCTTTCTACATATATATATATATATATATATATATATATATATATATATATATATATATATATATATATATATATATATGTAGAAAGGTCCTGAACACAGAGGATGTAAATCTTGAATACACCAGTTGAAAATAAGCACAGAGAATAGGTCTCTGCGTAACTAAATATTTCCGTTTTTCATCCGCCACTGTCAAATGTTCAAAGTTGCCCATTACGTTTGGCGTAAATTATATATTTGATTTAATTATAAGCAGCATATACGAAATATGCATATATTTCGTATATATGGAAAACAATATGTTCATCAGAATACTTTTTCTTTCTGAGCAATAGTTACGCCGCTAGACGCAAGTTGGGAGCCGAATATGAAGGTCGGTGCCCACTACGCCCCGCATCGTTTTTAAAAGGTGCTTAAATATCTCTCACTGGCTGGAGAGATGATTGCGTAAGCGTGGTAGCGAAACAGCCACACTTACAAAATGACAGCTCGTTTTCTATCAATAAGTGTTTTTTTGCAAAGATAAATTAAGTCCGGCTTTCAACTCACATGTCCTTCATTTAGATAGCTGCACTGAAAAAAAACATTCCTTGAAAGCTTCCTAAAAATAGTCTTATATCCTTCGAAATATAAGAAAAACTATGCACATCTTTAGAGCATGGGAAAATGTAGTTGGCAAATAGTCAATAGAGAACATTTTAATGATTTATTAATTCTATAGCTTTCTGCACAAATTTATGTTAAGAAGATGTACTGTCTTTATTTCTCCTTCATAAAAAAATATTTCCCGAGCGTATCTGTCCTACAATCATGACATATGGCTTCTATCATATTTCTCGCGACAGTAACAGAACTTGAACAGTATTTTTGAATGGCGGAAACATCCTATACAATACGTTCTTGCTATTTTACATAACTTACATATCTTAATTAGTATCAACGACAAAATAATACCTTGCTCCTATTGCTGTTGGAAATGTACTTATGTTAATTCTACGTAACGCCAAGGACAGGTGACAGTGATTATCCGCTAATTCTAACAGACCATCCTACAAACCGACAAAGGTCAAACAAAGTGCGCAAACTACGACATTCAAAGACGCTGGGTAAGATGCGAAAACGTCAGCATCAATAGCGAACGAAGCGGATGAGCCGACCATAGCATAGAAAAAAGCTGGAGATGTCCAAACTACAGCATCGTCAGATGCCGCTGTCAATTTTTTTTTTCATTTCTAAAGTAGGACGTCAGAAGACCAAACAATTATTCCAATACTGTCTAATTAGTCTTGCACAAACTGCCCTAACCTGTCTCCTTCTTCTTTCCCCTCGATTCGTCTTTTTCCTTATTGATTTTCTACATCATCCCGAGACGAGAAGCGCGATAAATCTCATGGAGACATAGTTTGCGAACATTTCTCAGATTGACCCTTTTTTTATTTCTGGTTCCACAAATCTCACGATATGTGAATGTTTATGTCCCTGAGTATGTCGCCTTCTTTGCCGTCGTCGTCATAGTCGAGTTGTTTCCTGGCTAGAGCTCTTTGCACAACTTGCGTTCCGCCTCACTTCCCATGCGCTTGCGCGTTGAACGCAATATACCCACGATGTCGTCGTATTCCTCTTGTTCAGTTAGTCTAGGATATTTATGGCCCTTCGGTTGTATACCCAGAACGTTGGGGTAGCCTTGCCTCCCCTGTGTGGGAGAGCGAAGCCTAATTCGCTTATTAGATGACCTCGCAAAGAAGCCGGCTCCGTAGTCGTATTTGTGGTTCGATCCCAATTTGTATGAAGCCACGGCAGCAGGGCAAGCGTCTAAGTAATATCTTTCATTTCTAACTTACCGCTAAAAAGTTGGAAAGCATTGCGATAACTTGTTAGAGTATTTTCCAATAACGAACAAACTCCACCTTATTTGAGGACGTTGCATTGTCCGATAGTGAACTTACTTGTTGATTGAGCGTGCCAGGTGTGATGGCCGCGCTGAGAGCACTCTCCTTGGCAGGCTCTTGCTGCTGCCGTCGGCCGCTTCGTGTTTCTGAAGGAGGATGACCGCGTTGTCCTTGTCAGGATTGCTCCGGAAAGTACCCTACCTGTCCCGGTTCACCGAATCGCTGGCTCTGCAACCCTTGTTTGCAGCCTGCGCTTCACAATTATCCTTTGAAATGCACCTGTACCGGTCGCTGTCAGTCAAGTTTTCTTCGGAGCCCTCGAATGCCTCGGGTGCCTCTGGGGCATTCTTGTACGCCATGTTCGGACAGTAGTCCTAGTACTCGTCACGCAAGATGTCCGAAATGGACAGGATATGAGCTGGCATATCGGCGTCTACTTTGCAGCATATGCCCCGAGACACATTGGCAGTGCACGATTCACAGTACTGAATAAGTTTGCAGTTCGCATGGTTGCTCTCCATGGCATACGGATCCATTTCGTCGAAGATATTGTCTAAGTTCAGTCCACTCAGGGTCGATTATAATGACAAAATTTCCTTTTTGATTGAGAAAGAACTAATATGTTTCCACGGCGTCCACCTCAACCTAGTGTTTATGGCGACTAAGCCGTTCATTTTTTTTAGATCTAAGTATCTCTGCTGTTACAAGCTTCCATAAGTGATCTGTTTCGATAAGTAGGCCTATTGTAGGTGAGCTTTATGTGCCATAAAATAACATTTATTAAGCCGGATCTTTCTTTTGATCACGCAGAAAACACGCAAAGGTGTAATCTGCGATCAAATCAGCTATGCCCTGCTAAATTACCGGTATGATAATTGCCTCGATTGTGGACTCAGTGTCGTCATACTGACTTTTAGTACAAACCTCAACCACATATTTATAGTGTAATATCTTCATTGAGGTGCTACCGAACGTATTTAGTCGTAGCTTAGTCTTTCTAAAAATTCTGCGAATTAGACACCGTGCAACTTCTTTTGTGATAGGTGATTGTTGACTGCTTCCATGAAGGATGCCTTCAATGCAGCTAGTACCCGTTTCACTGATCGCCCATGCACGGAATATTTGTTGATGAATGGTATTGTGTTTGCCTTGCCCAACCGAAAACTTGTGTTTTGTCTCAGAAGAAGAAATGCAGACGACTGATTCCTCCTTTTTTCCTTCTTTCTTCGTCTGGGCGAATGGCGGATCGCACATTGTTAATGCGTGTCGTCCGTCACAATTTTACCTCCTTGACCGCCTTCTGCATCTCTTGCACAATGTCCTTTGGTGGTACAGGGGAAACACCGCATGTCTCTTACTAACATTCGTTTTTGTTGGACACTGTTCATTCAGAATCGTTCCATGAGAGGCAGAAGAAACATTCACCTGGTAGGTAAGGTGACAAAATGTGGAGCGCTAAAGCAGATCTAACAGATTCTTGCTTTCCCTCTTTCGTACAAGCTCCCCTGTGGTTGCTCTTTTCACTGCTTTCGGTTTCAGTGCGAGCAAACTCCAGCATCTTTCGAGTTCCGGTGTGTATGCAGGTTAAGGTGACGAGGCTGCGTCACCCTCAGCTGTTGCTGCATTAATTGGGAGCTTGTATGGAACTTGTATGCGGTATTGCAACA